TTCCAGCTTTTTCTAAGTAGTTTATTGGAGATAAGTCTCACAGACTTTCCTACCAGGCTGGCTCCTCAGATCTCAGCTTTCTAAGTAGCTAGGATTAGACATGAGCCACCCGGTGCCTGGCATTAAATATTTTATTGTTTTAAGTAATTTTCATCAGTTTCACTGGAGAATTTCCACTGGAGAGTTTAAAATCTCTCTACATTGAAGTAGTGATTTGGATTTTTTTTTTCCTGCTGTTGCCTGCAGTGGCAGAGCCCACATGGCCCTCCTGGTGTCATAGCTCTTGTGTTGCTGTAGTTGGTCTAGACTGCTAGGGCTGCAGTCCTGTAGCAGGCAATGTCTGTTTAGTGTTACAGATTAGCTGCACGCAGTGCCTACTAATGTTACAGCCCTACTGCCAGCCACTACTGCTATAGCCTTTTATGTTCTTGTTTTAGGAATTGGAATGAAATTGAGGACCATAGAGGAACAGTATAAAAATTTTTTTCAGGCTGGGCGCTGGTGGCTCACGCCTGTAATCCTAGCTACTCAGGAGGCTGAGATCTGAGGATCGCGGTTCAAAGCCAGCCCGGGCAGGAGAGACCGTGAGACTCCTATCTCCAATAAACCACCAGAAAACCGGAAGTGGCGCTGTAGCTCAAGTGGTAGAGCGCTCGCCTTGAGCTGAAGAGCTGAGGGACAGCGCCCAGGCCCAGAGTTCAAGCCCCATGACCGACCAAAAACAAAAAAAACAAAACAAAATTTTACTCAGAAGAGAAAGGCTTTTGCTCTGTCCATGTGTCTCTGAGTCTGGTTATGTGTGTGTGTGTGTATGTGTATGTGTGCATGTGTCAGTTGTGGGGCTTGAACTCTGGGCCTGGGCGCTGTCCCTCAGCTCTTCAGCTCAAAGCTAGTGCTCTATCACTTGAGCCACAGTGCTATTTCTGGTTTTCTGGTAGTTAATTGGAGATAAGACTTTTCTGCCTGGGCTGGCTTTGAACCATGATCCTTAGATCTTAGCCTCCTTAGTAAATAGGATTACAGGCATGAGCCACTGACTCCCAGCTGAGTCTGGGTTTTTTATGCCTTGAGTTTGCTCTGATTAGTTGCCTTTACTATAACTATTTTGGAAGGCCACACTTTCTTTTTTTTTTTTTTTTTTTTTTGGGTCCGGTCGTGGGGCCTCAACTCTGGGCCTGGGCGCTGTCCCTCAGCTCTTCAGCTCAAGGCTAGCGCTGTACCACTTGAGCCACAGCACCACTTCCGGCTTTTTTCTTTTTGCTTATGTGGTACTGAGGAATTGAACCCAGGGCCTCAGGCATGCAAGGCAAGCACTCTACCACTGAGCCAACTTCCCAGCCCGAGGCCACACTTTCATTAGTCAGATCCCATAACATTCTGATTGGTCGTTAATTCCTAATCAGGTTCCTTCTGTACGTCCTCAGGATCATAGAAAAGTTATTGAAACCAGAAGGGGCAAAGGAAAGACAAAGACATTGTCTCTTTTGCATCTGGTTTTGGCTTACCAGGCCCAAATGCTGTCCAGGGCTCCTAAAATCTTAACTAATTTACCCTTTCAATAGGAGCACTGTGGAGCTCTGCTCACATGGTCAGGCCACAAGTAGAGCTCTGACCTGGGCCTGAAATATTTCTCTCAAGAGAAACTTTTCCTAATCTTATTATTTGGTCACCCTAAGTACAGGTTGTACAGGCATAGCAGATTGAACATTGTTTTATAACAGACCAAATTAGAAAGTCAAATCGGCTGCCTCCTCATTCATCTTTTCTAAGCCAAATCAAAAGTATATGACATCATTTTGTGTTACTAGATGGATCTATACTTAGCTGAATCTGAAGAGTGAGAGGAATCAAAGAAGTTATGTGGGCTGTTTTCCTGAAAATAATTATTTCTCAAATGTATACTGTAGAATGATTTCTATGACTGATTTTAAAATTTACGTCTTTCAGTTTTTCTTAGCTAGCCTACCTCAGACCTGTCCATAACCACAAACCCAATTTCTGGTGGAGAGCAGTGGGGATGAGAATAGGAAGGGGCTTATTTTTTTTTTTTATTTGTGAACTTACTGTACAGAGGGGTTACAATTACATGGGCTGGATAATGCGAACATTTCTTACCAAGCGTTGCAGCCTCCTCCTTTTGTTTGTTTACCCTTCACATCCCTTCCCAGCCTTCCCCAGGGGCTTATTTTTTATTTGCTAGTTTTACCTGAAGATTCAGGCACAGAAGAAGTCTTACCTGTTTTATATTTTACGTTGCAACTTTCAGGAGCTAAAATGTTCTTTTAAGTCCTACTGATGAGTTCAGAGTTACCTTTTGAATAATGGAATCGAAGTATTTTAAATAAGAAGGCAGTTTGCTCTGTGAACTTGAGCCTTTGTCTCCATTTTTGAGGATAGGAGCAGTGACATTTGAAGGCTGGATGCTCTTCCCATACCAGTTCCTTAAAGTTGGGTAATCACAAATAGCACTTTGGGAATTATAACCTACATTGGATGGTATGTGGTTTTACTGGCTAGCTCTATAGATAGATATAGGTCATCTCTATGTTACAGATTAGGCTTAGAATATAGAGTCAATGACAGCCCAGTAGGGCCTTTTAGATAATGAAGGCTTTTAAGGAAAAAGTTCTTCCTTAAGATACTTGGATCCCTCCTTGCCTCCTTCCTTCCCTCCCTCTCCCTCCTCCCAGTGCTGGGGATTTATTCCCCATTGGGTCCATGCTAGACAACCACTCTACCACTTGAGCCACACT